CTTTACTTATATTATAACAGCTATACATAAGCGCCGTAATATGATCGGTCACTTATGTATAGACTGGCCTGCAGCGTGGGATCTGCAACGTAAGCATTGTTACGCTCTTGTCCACGCCGCAGCTTAAACGCTAAATGTATATGCCTTCAATATAGGTATGCACGTATTAGTGTATATGAAAGTACGCATTTGCTGTGCGTTTATATGCATATACGTGCACATACATGTTGCTCCACACAGTGACGCGAGTACTGTAGGAGCGACCTTCGCTTCTGGATAGGGGTCAAGGACTGACTATAGTCGGCCTCTTTCGCTCCTACAGATTCAGCAATGGGCTCGCGTCGAGGACCATTAGCCGAGGTGCCGTTCGGGCTGGGTGCTAGTAGTGGACACTTTCACTCGCAGGGCATCATCGCCCAATGGGAGGCTGCCACGCGATTTGGCGGGAAAGTGGCTTCACCACAGATCACGCCACTTTACCGATTTTATGGGCATGAGCGGCAGAAAGGCCCCTCTCCAGAGCCGAACAGGCCCCGTTAACACACGAAGCAGGGTTTATGGATGGGCTATAAAAGGCCACCGGCAGCTCCATATAGGGATTCAGAGACCGTAAACAAGATATACAGTGAAAATAGTGCCGAGAATAAAAGTGACAAGTGAAAGTCAACGAGAGTGGCAGATAAGGACATCGAAGGACTCCCAGGACAACGTTGGAGCAGCAAGGACATCCAGAGGGAATCCTGGCAACGACTATCACAGGATAAAAGGCAATCAGGATCGCCAGCGGCACCAACGAAGACATTGGTGCGGACGAGGACAGACGTGCAGCTTAAACGAGGCCTGCAGATACAGGAGTGAGTAAGTTCATGTAGCCGTGCGTAAGAGTAGTGTTGTGAGTGAAACGAAGCTAGTGTTCTGTGAGCGAGTCGAATAGTAGGAGTGTCCTGTACATCCGAGCGAGCCGCCGGAGTTTACAGATCCTGGCGTCTTCTAAATCGTTCAAGTGAAACTAGCGTGTCTTAGCACAACACTCTCACAGCCGGAGTACGCTGAGCCAGTACTCGGCGTCCTGTAGCAACTGTGCCCTGCGAAAGCGAATCGAGAGCGAGTCGCCATACCCTAAGTGAAGTGTCAAATTACAAACTTTTGCAAGAAAATATACTTCACGTTGTTAAACCATAAATCACAAGTAAATAATTATCGCAGGGGCTTCAACTAATAAATTTGTTGGCACGAACTCATAGTCAGCTGAAACTATCCCAGCTTAGACTCAGGGTAAACCAAATTATAATAATCAAAAAAACATTTTCTCACCAACTTGATTTTCCTGACAATAATAAAAATTTTACAATTACTCCAGAGCTTACTTACGCAACTGAAAATTCAGTAGACGAGCAGCTTCAATACCGACTCGATCACTTTAATAAAGAACAAGTAAGAAAGCTCTAGTCGAGACTGCTCGACTACGAGATCCCCTGAACCCTTGGAGCAATAGATATTTCAATACTTTTTCGCGACTTTCAGCTTACATGAAACATGAAACACGCACACACACACACACACGCACGTACGCAAACACAGGCATACATACACACACACGCATACAGACACACATACACACACACACGCATACATATACAAACGCATACACACACACACACACATACACACACACATACACCAACACATACACACACAAGCAACCACGCATAAACACGCATGGGCGGCAGTGTGCGCTTACTATGAGAACTTAATTGTTTAATAACTTTTTTTATGGACGTACGATCTTCATGAAACTTTTAGATTATGATTATAACATGAATATGCATGTAATTGCCAAAGCACAAGTCTCTAGTATTTGAAATACGCTTTTTAAAAAGTGAGGGTGAGGGGGTGAATTTAGAGGTGGGGGGTAAATTTTAACAAAAACCGAAATTGTATAAATTGCATATAAGCATACATTAAAAATTTGGAGACTCTAGCAATAAAGGTGTAGAAGATATAATTTTATAACTGGGTTTCGATACGGTTTTTTATCGATAAAAAAAGATCGAGATGAGTTATCGATTTTTAATGATAAACTTGATATGCGCGCTGTAATTACGGACATTTAAAAAAAAATTTGAAGTCTCTAGCTCTTATATCTTCTGAAATCGACGCGTTCATACATACGGACAGACGGACAGACGGACAGACGGACAGACAGACGGACAGGGCCAAATCAACTCAGCTCGTCACCCTGATCAAGAATATATATACTTTGTGGGGTCTGCCACGCCTCCTTCTCCCTGTTACATACATTTCAACAAAACCATTATACCCTGATTTCCCATTGAAAATGGGTTCAGGGTATAAAAACAGGCAAATTTGCTTAAGCTTTTAAAACAGTTTGTTGACATTCAGTATCGCGAAAGCCAAATATTAAGCTTTACTAATCAAACCAAGCATAGAATTGAAACCATTCGCAATAATTCCGCTAACAAAAAACCCTACAGTTATCCGTTCGCCGCCGAGCAAGAAATAGACGCTCAAGCTCAGGAAGTGCTTTAGCAAGGGATTATCAGGGAAAGTAATTTGTCATATTTCAGCCCCTTATGGGTTGTGCCCAAAAAACTAGATGTTTCAGGGAATCAAAAATATTGAGTTGTCGTGGAATATCGAGGATTCAACGACATCACTATAAACGATAAATTCCCCATCCTAAATATTGCCGAAATCAGTATTTTACGACGATCGATCTTGCAAAAGGTTTCCACCAGATAGAAATGTTAAGACTTTTCAAAGAAAGTTATTATTTCCCAGACTCTGGTAAATTAATACAAAACATTATTAATCAATGCGATGTTTACCAATTGTCGAAAACAGAACACAGAAATACTAACGCCCAATTTGAATTAACACCGGAAGTATTTATATAACATAGAATAAAACTTATCTAACATGTATTGACATTTATTAAAAATTTGTGATGTTAGTACAAGTGAAAAGCCTTGACTGGCTCGAAGCCAAACGTGCACTGTTACAAGTATTTACTCAAAGGGGCAAGCCCCTCAAAGCAGACAGAGACTCAGCTCAATTAAACAATGGTTTACTTGGGAGGATGATAAATTAGAATCAGCAACAAAAACAAAAACGAGCGCATTAGAATAATAAAGACTGATACTTACGTTGAAGAAAAGCAGATGAAAATCGAAACTATCCTATTCATTTATAATCACAAAATTAACAAGTAAGAAAACTATAGTTGAGAGTGCTCAACTAGATACTACCCTGAGCCCAACTAATAAAAATGCCCATTTAGTATGGCTAAAATTTCAGTTTCGATATATGTATTTAAAAATATAAATGAAATACAAAACTCACTTAATAAAATTTGAAAATATTTTGAAACAATTAAGAAAATTAACGTAAGTTGCACCGATCGGGATTCGAACCCGCGACTTCTCGATCGAGCGTCACGCAGCTACTCACTACGCCACCTCACTTTCAAAACTGAAATAGATTCACTGCTGCAGCGCCATTTAGCAAAACTAAACCAAACTAACTGCTGATGTGATTCTAAGAATCTGCTACAATAACCAAACTATTTAAAATGCACATTTAGAATGGTTACAATTTTAATTTCGGTGTATTTAAAAATATAAATTAAATAGAAAACTCATTTATCAAAATATAAAAATATTTTGAAGCAATTAAAAATTAACATCAGTTGCACCGATCGGGATTCGAACCGCGACTTCTCGATCGAGCGTCATGCCGCTACTCACTACGCCACCTCACTTTTGGAAGCTGCGCTGGCAAAACTCAAATAGATTCACTGCTGCAGCGCCATCTACCAAAACTAAACCAAACAGCTGATGTGATTCAAAGATTGTTCTAGAAGAAGTTTGAGTGTATGTGTGCACGCGTATACGAAACTGTTGTAGCTGCTACACGTGCGTTTGTTAATTCGCCAAATATTTGATTATTTGTAATTAATTTTTGACTCAACGGTATTTAATGAAACACTTAGCATATGATCTACATATTATATTGAATATCTGAGAAATTTAAATAAAAATAAAAAATTATTCACAATTAGCTATGGTGGCATCTGATTTGAACTTGAATGTTTTTACTCGAAAAAAAAAACATAACGGGATGATTTATCGAATTTTAAAAGCAAACTCAACGTCCGCGCTCAAGTCTCTAGCTCTTATATCTTCGGAAATCGACGCGTTCAAACAAATGAACTCAGCTCGTCGCCCTGGTCAAGAATATATATACTTTGTAGGGTCTGCCACGCCTCCTTCTGCCTTTTACATACATTTCAACAAAACCATTATACCCTGATTTCCCATTGAAAATGGGTTCAGGGTATAAAAACACACAGGCATACATACACACACACGCATTGCCACGCTCCTAGTGGGCGATCGGGAAAATTTTAACAATTTATAAATCGAGGGTATACACTTGAATAGCCCTGAAAAAATGGGTTCATACGGCGTCTGCCACGCCTCCTACTGCCTTCAAAAAAACCATTATACCCAGATTTCCGTCCGTCCGTCCGATTTCCTAGGTCCGTGTATAATTTTAAATGTTTCCTTACATGCATTTTATTCAATTTCGGTTTTTGTTAAAATTTACCCCCCACCCTTATATATACCCCCTCACCAGCATGTATCAAATATTTCAAATACTCGAGACTTGTGCTTTGGCAAATACATGCATATCTATGTTATAATCATAATCTAAAAGTTTCATGACGATCGTATGTCCACAAAAACAATTATTAAACAGTTAATTTCTCATGTGTGTGTGTGTATGTATGTATGTATGCCTGTGTGTGCGTGCGTGTGCGTGTGTGTGTGTGTGTATGTATGTATGCCTGTGTGTGTGCGTGCGTGTGTGTGTGTGTGTGTGCGTGTTTCTTGTGTAAGCTGAAAGACGCGACTAGAGCTTTCTTACTTGTTTTTATTTTATTTTATTTTTTTAAATTATTTTTGTAAGACAACAAATTGAACAAGTAAGAAGACTCTAGTCGAGACTGCTCGACTAGGAGTTACCCTGAACTAGGGAAAACAATCGATGGTACTATCGATACTATCGATGGTTTTCTAAAACGGCTATACCTCGATATTATTTTCGTCTATCGATAGTCTGACATTAAAAAAAGTGAGCGTTAAGTTGGCGAACGCCAATCCCGAAGAACGCAAAATGAGCCTTACGAGCTTGTGTGCCAAAATAAGTAATATTGAAAGAACTAGTTCAGTGGCTCAGTTAGTCACAGACAATGCGAATTCCATGGTCAAAGCCTGTGAAATTCTTGCAAAAAATCATTTACCCTGCTTTGCGCATTGTATCAATTTATTGGTGCAGGATGATTTGTCTCTTGAAAATATAAAATCCTTAATACGCACTGTAAAACAAATTGTGACATATTTCAATAGCAGTTCTATTCAGTATGCTAAACTTAAGAATGCTCAAGAGCGGGAAAACCCATACAGTCTTATTCAAGAAGTTCCCACTAGATGAAATAGCGCTTTACATATGATGCAACGGATATTATTGGTCAGGGATGATATCGGTCACGTCCTTTTAAATTGTTCAAAAGCACCATCAACTTTGAATAACGACCAATATGATTGCATCGCAGACTTATGCGACATTTTAAAACATTTTGACGAAGTCACCAAAAAAGCATCAGGAGTAAAGGCAGTATCAGTGTCATTAATCATACCATGTGTTTTTGGCTTGGGATGCACCATGGATGGACTTAAGACAAAAAATGAGGATTTCAATTGATTCCGAAACTTGCACTTTTATTAAAAATCGGATCAAAATAAGACTGTCACATTATCAAACCAGAACCGTTCCACGCTTGGTCACAATGTTGGACCCAAGGTTCAAAAACGAAGCTTTTGGAAATGCTGTCAATGCTCAAGAAGCCTCGACAATTTTAGAAACGAAAGTGAAGAGCATAATAAATGTTGAAAAAATGACCCAGTAACTGATTTACAGCCAACGCACCCTGACAATGTTCTTACATTTTTGGCCGATAGAATTCAGCGGAAACAACGAACTTGTATGTCAGATGCAATAAGCGCCATGAGGCAATACATTGAGGAGAGAAATGCTGATCATGATATTGACCCCTTGGAGTACTGGAAGGTAAATTTGTAATGAAATTTATAAAAATAACAATCTAAACATTTAAAACATTGCAGATTAATGCGCAACATTTTAGTCACGTCGCACAGTGCGCTCGCAAGTACCTTTGCGTTCCGGCAAGCTCCACCGAGTCGAAGAGAACTTTCAGTAAAGCTGGTTAAATTATTGGCACACGTCGGTCCCGCCTTAAAACAAAATATGTGGACGTCTTACTGTTCTTAAATAAAAACATCTGGCTCCTAGATGGATAGCTGTAATATTATATTTGTTGAAGATTTTCGGTTTAAGTTGTTTAAATACTTTTAAGTTTGAATATTGTTTTGTTTTCCTTTTTTATCTTATATTACATTCCATTACATATTTACCTATTACTGCTATGAAAATTATGAATGAATCTATTTTTAAGTTGCTTCAAATATTGATTTTTGTTTTCGTTTTATATAAATATACAACAGTTATAAATAATAGCTGTAAATGAAGTCAGAAACATTTTTTAGTACCGTTCTATAAATGCAGACTTTAAGAAAAAATGGAGTAAATTGTAATTATTTTAAATTTTCGATAGTATTGATGGTTTTCACTATCGGATGTGAAAAAAAATCGATGGCCTCACTATCGATAGTTCTGCATCCCTCCCCTGAACCACTAACCAGAGAACACATAGACCGGACAAGTAGTGTAAAGCGTTTTGCACACTTTTTTTTCGGGAGTTATCTCCCAGACACTTCGTATTTTCTCGGCTCCTCACTTTTTCGGTTCGGGCTACGAAAAAATACGAAAGCACAATCATTTCGCTTCATGCGCTCGGCCGAGATGGTCGACTGTTGAACAAAAGATCCCTCTGCGCTGAATGTTTTCCTTGCTCTCTCTCTCTCTCACGATGCTCTCTGCTCTCTCAAATATGTATGTATGTATGTATGCATGTGAGCACAAGCTGCAGCTCACAAAAATTGAAATTTCTTCGCAGCGAGAACCCATGCCTTCCCTTCTGTGTGAAGAGTATACCGAATTTTTCGAACCGTTTGCCATGCGTTTTCGTCATTATTTGTGGGAAGGGTATGAAAGCGTTGGTGCGCATAATGAAAATTCGCGACGAGCATGCACACACACACGGTCCCTTGCTACATGTACTATGAGCATTTGTATGCCTGTGTGCGAAGCTCTTGCTGCCTGTAGCAATTTTGAAGCCCAGCATTTGCATTTGTCGATCTTGTGAAGTGCTCACATACATACATATGTATGTATGTATATACATTTGATTGTGTGTACGCATGGGAGGCGCTGCTCACAATTATGGGATATAACTTGTAGAAGCACTTGTATGCCTGTGTGCCTTTATATGTGCGCGTGTGTATGTGTTTATATGCATGCCTGGGAGATGAACATTGGCGAGTGCCTCCCTCAACTTAGAATGGTGTGAACGATCACTGACCAAACAACACATAGACTAGACATGTAGAGCAACGTTTTTCCACGCCGCAATATCTGCCTAGCAAGTCCCGGCCAACTTCGTATTCGCTCGGCTTGGTATTGGATGGCTCGGGTAATGAAAGATAGCACGACGAAATCAGTGCGCTCTAAGCACGCAAACGAAATGGTCATGTATGCGCTTTGCGTTTTTTGTCTTACTCTCCCTCTCTCTCTCTAACTCTCTCTTTCTCTCTCTGTGGGCTCTCAAATCATGAAGCTCAGCAGCGCACAAAAATTTAAATTCCTTCCCGACGGTCCCAGCTCTTTCCTTTTGAGTGAAGAGTATTCCGAAATCTTAAAATCGTTTGCGGCATTCATGCAAACAAAATGCTAGTGTTTCGATATATATATATGGGAAGGGTATGAATGCGTTGAGGCGCATAAAGAATATGATCTCGCGACGGGCATGCACACACACACTTGTTGTCCCTTGCTACATGTATGAGCATTTGTGACCTGCGTGCGTTACTCTTGCTGCTTGTAGCAATTTTAAAGCCCAGCATTTGCATTTGGTCGGTCTTACGGACTATCATAACCACTTCACACAGATGTGCATACTATGTATGAACATACATATGTTCATAAGTACATTTATATATTATTATTGCTAATCATGTTTATAAATGTGTTTATATCCGTAATTATATACAATTAAAATTATTTTATACACATTTTCAACCGAAAAAATTATTGTAAAACACTACTAACTTTATTAAATGCTTTGCAATATATGAAATACACATGTCATATTATACTCAAGCTTTACTCATTATTGTCTGTTGAGGATTGATCTCGAAAAACTCATCATCAAGTGAGCATTTGAGCTAACGGTAAACACAGTCGTCGGCTGATCGCACATTTGTCTCTAGAATAAGAAACCGAATGTTCTGGATTATGAAATAGACGCAAACATAGAAGCATAAGGAGACATCCAGAACATTCGATATGCAGTAGAAGTAGGTATATAAGCGAGCTGTAAGTCGAGCCAAAGTTCATTCAGTAAGTTCATTGTGTAAGATCAATGTCAGTGTGTCGGCTCGGTTAGTTAAGTTCAAATCGTCGCGGTACGTGAAGAAGTGTACTTGTTACTGAATATTGTGTTAAATAAACTTTTTGTGTTGCGCCTACATATACCGTGTTTCATTTAAGAAAAACCTTCAACAGGTTATGGGCCCAGACAGTGCTAAACGTGTAATGTAGTGTGAAATCGAGTGCAAGTACAAAAGTGAATTAGTGGCAAATTTGTAACTAAATAAAGACAATGAAAATGGAGCCATTAAATATGAGAATTGAACGATTACGCGACAAAGACAATTGGCATTTGTGGTGTTTTATGATTCGTACGCTATTGGAAGAAGACGACGATGTTCTTGCCGTTTGTGAAGGTAGTTTGACGTGTCCGACACAGGAGTCTGCAACATACGAGAGAGACTCGAAAAGGTTCTTGAAAGCTGATAAGACTGCAAGGAAAATAATTATTCATTCTATCGAGAGAAGACCGATGGAATTGATTGTGAGCTGCAAAACAGCAAGAGAAATGTGGATAAAATTGAACTCAGTGTATGATATGAAATCAGAAGAAAATTTATCGGCTATTCAGAAACAGTTTTTTGATTTCAAATGGATTGAAAGTGAGAGTGTGGACTACAATATTTCAAAGTTGGAAGTTTTGTGGAGCAAGATGAAAAATCTTGGAAGTGCTGTGCCTGAAACAATGTTAATGTCGCGAATCCTGTCATCTTTGCCTCAAAAGTTTAACTATTTTCATAGTGCGTGGGATTCGGTCGAAGACAGCAAAAGAACATTGAACAATTTGACGACTCGTTTAATGACAGAAGAAATGCGGTCAAAAGAACAAGAAGTGGTACCTGAAGAGTCAACAGCGTTAGTCGCCGGCAACGGAAAAAATAAAAGAGAACATGAAAATAAGAAGAAAATTATGAAGTGCTATAACTGCGGCATGATGGGACATCTGAAGAAGGACTGCTACAGGTGTTATATATGCAAGAAGAAAGGCCACAAGAGCAACACCTGTCACCAAAGGAGAAATGCAGGAAGTCAAGCGGAAAATAATCAAGGAGAATCGGGTGAATCATCGAGGAAAGGATTGATTGCGAGCAGGGACGGCAGAGAAGATGACGTGTGGGTGATCGACTCAGGAGCTTCTGATCACATGTCAAGGCGTCGAGATTGGTATTCTACTTATGAAGAATTTTTGGAGCCCCTGAGGATAGGCGTAGGTAACGGTAAATATATCACGGCGCACGGAAAAGGTAATATTGATATTGAAACTTATGTCAATAATAATAAAAGGGCGACGACAATGTTTAATGTTTTGTATGTTCCGGAAATAGTTTACAATTTATTTTCTATTATGTCAGCTGCAAAAAGGGGTGTTGATTGTCTTATTAAAAATAAAGGAACACAGTGTTTGTTGAGACGTGATAATAAAATAATTGCAACGGGTTCTAGGTTCGGAAACTTATTAAAATTAGATGCGAATGTTTTGATGCCAAAATTGTGTAATTTAACAAGAAAAATAGAATCGAAAGAAAGTGATTCTTTACAAGTATGGCACGAGAGGTTTTGTCATCAAAACGTTCGACATGTTCGCGATTATTTGAAAAATAAGAATATTGATTTTCTAGAAAATGATTTCTTTTGTGAAGGATGTGCTTATGGGAAGCAGCATCGGCTAACATTTCACAAAAATATTGACCGTGCAACAAAGACACGAGAGATAATTCATACTGATGTTTGCGGTCCGATAGAGGTAGAGTCTATTGGTAAAAAGTTGTATTTTGTTAGCTTTAAAGATGATTATTCAAGTTATCGGGAAGTTTATTTTATACGTCATAAGTCTGAAGTATTTGAAAAACTCCAAATTTTTATTCAGGCAATTCAGAATCAATTTCATGAAAACATTAAAGAAATTCACAGCGATGGGGGTAGAGAATATATTAATAAAGAAGTTAAATCGTTCTTTAATAAGAAGGGAATAAAACATATTGTTAATGCTCCTTATACACCTGAACAGAATGGAGTTGCGGAACGTGAGAATAGAACTATTATTGAAGCTGCACGATCAATGTTGCATTCTAATTCTGAGTTACCATTATTTCTATGGGCAGAAGCAGTAAACACTGCAGTTTATGTAATTAACCGCACAGGTCCAACAAAACATGGGAATAAAACTCCATATGAGTTGTGGTTCAAGAAAGAGCCAGATATCGGAAATCTTAAAATTTTCGGGACTGAATGTTTTGTACATGTACCAAAAGAAAAAAGGAGAAAATTAGATAAAAAGTCTATTAAAGGATTTATAGTAGGATACGTTGAAAATTGCAAAGGATATCGTGTATATGTTCCAAATATGAGAGATGTAATTATAAGTAGAGATGTATGTTTTAAACCAGAAAACTTTACAGCTCAGTTTAAAAAACCTGAAATTTTAGTTGACAATTCTGAAAGTGAGACTAATGAAAGTGAATACGAAAATAATAAAATTGAAGATGAATCAACTGAACATAATAATAGTGAAATGGGTCGGCGATTGCGAGATAGATCACAGATTCGTATGCCAGATTTTTATGGTTGCCCTGTTACATTTATTACACAAAGCTTGCCTTTAAATTATAATGAAGCGTTAAAGTCTGATGAAAATGTATCTGAACAAAATAATTGTAATGCACCTTACCGCGAAGCAGTAGGAAATTTAATGTTTTTACAAGTTGTTTCAAGGCCAGATATAAGTTTTTCTGTTAATGTAGTTTCCGAGATCTAGAAAACCCGAAGCAGCATCACTGGACGTTAGTTAAGAGAATATTTCGTTATTTGAAAGGAACGATGGATTTGGGAATTTTACACAGTAAAATTAATAATATTTTGAGACATATAGTGATGCTGATTATGCAGGTGATAAGAAAACTCGGAAATCTACATCTGGAA